TCCCAAGTCAAGTCACGTGCAAGTCACGCACTAAACGATGCCAAGAGAATCCAATTCCACGACTTCCCAACTCCTCATTTTCTCTCTCCTTTGCCTACCAACACCACGTTCCCTTCACATCTCATCCCTTCCTTTGAAGCCTCCCTCAACCTTCGCCAACCCGTCATGTCACTCCTCACTTCCCTCTCGAAAACCGCCATGCGAGTCGTCATCATTCACGACGTTCTGATGAGTTACGTCGTTCAAGATTCTGACTCTTTGCCCAACACAGAGGCATACATCTTCCACTGTGTCTCCGCCGTCTCGAACTTTGCCTTCATGCGCGACGCCGCGGGGCGACATCACGATCGCCCCGAGATCCCGTCTTATGAAGGGTGCTTGGTTCCTGAGTTTGAGGTTTTCTCAAATTACCAAGCTCAGTTTCTGTTCAAGAGTGGTAACAAATGTGGGCATTTGTACAACACTTGTAGGTTGATAGACAGTGAATTTCTAGACTCCTTTTTAGAGGAAATGAGAAAGATCATGGGTGGGAATATGAAGCAGTGGGCAATTGGGCCACTGGAAACAGTGACAATCTTCAAGAACAGATCACCGAACAAAGTGAAAGGCCAAGGCCAAAACAAGTGTTTGGAGTGGCTTGACAAAGCAAGAGAAGAACTCTGTGTTGTACATCTCTTTTGGGAGCACAACTTTCATGGAAGATGAGCAAATTGGAGAATTGGCAATTGGGTTGGAGAAAGTGGGGTCAAGTTTTTGTGGGTTTTGAGAGACGCAGACAAAGGAAATGTTTTTGATGAAAGTGAAGTTAGAAGACCTCAACTTCCACTAGGGTTTGAGGAGAGAGTGAAAGGAAAAGGAATTGTGGTGAGAGATTGGGCGCCCCAGATGGAGATTTTGGGGCACTCTCAACTGGGGGGTTCATGAGTCATTGTGGGTGGAATTCATGCTTGGAAAGTATTAGTCTTGGAGTGCCCATAGCAGCCTGGCCAATGCACTCTGATCAGCCCATTAATGCTGTGTTGATCACAGATTTTCTCAAAGTTGGTGTTTTTGTGAGGGAATGGGCAAAAAAAGATGAGTTGGTGAGTTCATCGGTGATTGAAGAAGTCGCGAAGAGATTGATGAAATCGGAGGAAGGAGATGAGATAAGGAAAAAGGCTGAGGAATTGGGTTGTCAAGTGATAATGTCTACTGAGAAAGGAGGCATTACTAAAATGGAGTGGGACTCTTTTATTGCTCATATCACTAGGGAAAGCTAATTATATATGATCAAGAAATTACTCAGAATAAGATTGTCCTGGTTGAGAAGGTCTTTGCCAGGATTAATCCAAGTTAATTATACACACACACACACACATTTATATATATATATATATATATATATATACATACATATATGGGCGTGCACTCGTCATTTCTATTTTGAGGGAAATAAAGATTCAAAGCAACTTCTTTAATTAGTATTGAAGTATTGTTACATTAATATGAGAATTGATGACGGATATTCTCTTTCTAATTAATGAGAATTTTTCTTTTCAATTTTAGATTAAGTGAAGAAATAAAATGTCATCAGTTAATTTACATATGTAAGACAAAAGTGGATATATAAGAAATAACTATATTTACTTGCTGATTTGGTTGGCGTTTACAACAGTATTGCATGAGCGGATAAGTCATAATATTGTCTAAAATAAAAAATTATTGGTAATTTATTTTTTTAACACCTGCCAAAGAAATCTCCAGAAATATAAACACCTGCATATGATTCTTTGAGAAATTTAGAAAATAAATAAATCCGCACATGATGATAACCATAGAATGTAAATGCTAGAAAGAAAACAAAAAATACAGCATCATTTTCAGCAAAAAAAAAAAAAAAAGTAAAATAAATAATGGCAGTATCATTAAATTGATGGAGAAAAATTAGGGATTATAAACATGACATTAAAGTTGAAAAAGATGCAGGGTATCTTATTTTAACAATTACGAATGTTTATTTTGAGCTAAAAATAAGTCTATACAAGGATTTTAGGAATAGGATTTGTTGAAATCCCTGCAACTGGCCAAATTCTTTCTCCCTGCCTTTATTTTTTGAGAAATCTTGTCGAATACTCCTTAAAAACGTATCCATCTTGATTTTTATCTCTTATTGTTAATTAATATCTTTTTAATCAAATAATTATACTAACAAAAGAAAACTAATCAAAAGTACATTATTTTTTTTTATTAATTGAATGATAATTGTTTATATCTCCGTAACTTCTTAATAACAAAAGAAATCTCCATAACTTCTTAAATGACAAAAGAAATCTTATATGTAACTCCACAATTAGTCCGATTACTCTGATTAAGGAATGGACCCTATATGGTAATAGGCACGGAGCCAAGTACATTGTAGAAGGGCACGTGTCTCTCTTGAAAAATTAATGAGATGTTTGTTTTAAAGGTTCGTTCTTATTCTGAATCATAATTTTTAGTTCTTTACAATATTTTTTTTTCACAAAAAATTTAAATTTTTAAAATCAAAACCATGATTGATTGAAATCCTAAAGATTTTTCTATAGAACTCATAGCATTTAATAATTGATTGAAAATTATATTCTTGATATGCAGTCTATTAAAGAGTTTGTACTTGCGCATATTCAAATATTTCTTCCCATGATCCTAGAAAATATTATTACTTTGTCACAACATACATTGTGGTTCATTTTCTTTGTTGTTTATTTTTTTGAATTTTATATTTTTGAATGTGCCTTTTTTCATTTTTTTTTTTACTTCGTGCTTATTAAAATAACTTTTTGCAAATGTAACACTATTTAAATATTATTCTCGTATTAACTTTTTTTCATTATTGTCCCCACTGAAATAATGTTTATCCACTCTATATTCCTACATAAAAATCTTTTTTTCTTCAATACTCTCAAATCTATTTTTACACAAAATCCTATTGGTGTTTCACTGTTTTGCTTGTTACACTTGCATTACTTCTTTCAGTTTGTATTGCTACAATTGAGAGAGTATTTTTTTTATATTAATGTTTTGAAGAACTATTTACGCATTTGAATAGGAGATTAATGGATGAACGGAAATTCGATTGGGAGCACAATTTAATTGTTAGTGGGAGCACAATCAAATGAGAATTTTGATTTTCCTAACTATTATTTCAGTATCTAAATCTTGTCTTTATTGCGCTTCCACTAAATTCAGGATAGCAAGTCCACTCAACAAGCTCTTTGATTTGAAACCATCACTCGAAGAAATATATATGTTCTGCCACTTATTGGATTAGGGATGCCAATTTGAAACGGCAACGTGGTGTTTCACAGTATTTGGGGCGATTTTTCCTCAATTTTAATGAGAAAATTGTTGAACTTACTCTTAGAATACATGAGTTTGAATTTTCACTTCTTATTATTGATTAATACTCTTTTTGACTAATATAGTTATATGATTAAAAAAGAATTAATCAAGAGTAAAAGGTAAAAATCTAGATCTATGCACTCTAAAGGGTAATTGTCTCCTTTTCTTCTAGTTAATTGCATGTCTTGCCTCAAACCCACGTAGATGTATGTGTGGACGAGTTTTAATGGTTAGGCTTGTATCGGTGATTGCACATCAAATATAGAAATTTGATGATGTGACCTGATAAGAGTTCAATTTCACTAATAGCCATAAACTTTTTTAGTCAGCTGCTAAATTTATTAGAACCGTCTGATCAATATTTTATGGTTAAAACAATGATACCCACTAATGGATAAATATTAGAGTAATCATTTAAATCTTATGTTTTTTGTCTATTGCTTGCTTCCTCTTTAGTTGTTCTAATCTCATAAATGGTTATAGAATTTTATCTTTAATTTCGTTTTGGTCTCTAACTTTTAAAACATCACAAATTTAGCTCTAAGGTATTAGTTTGTTTCAACTTTAATTCTTCCTTGTAGTTAATGTTAAAAAGATGAGAAAATATACACATCATACTTTTTCTTTATAGTGCCAGTGATCTTGATAGAAAATAATACTTTACTAGTAAAACATTATATATTCTGTCTTTTTTTTTAACATTCAGCTAATGGATAGGTTAAAACTGAAACAAACTAATAATTCAAGGTTTAGTTTGGGACCTTTTAGGGTACAATTCCGGAGCCATCTATAAGATTTTTTGCTTTGGTAACCATCTATGAGATTGAACCTTTATTTATTTCTTCTTTTTTATGCCAGACATTGCTATTTTACGGCCAATTACAGTTGATTCTTCTCATTTCTTCCCCACTTTGGTCATCATCGACGTCATATAATTTTATCATAAAGCTAGTTAAAGGGACTGATGATAGTAGACAAGTTTTATTTAGTTTGGTAAACTATCTATCATTTCTGTTTCAATGACTATCAAATCAAATGATATATGGCGGGGTAGGAACTAAGATGGAGCTTGAATTCAAAGTGCGAGTTTGATCTCAGACCTGACCGGTTATATGTACTTTTATATTTTAAATATATAAGACATTGGTATTTCTGGAAGTTTGAATATTATTCAGTTTACTTTATAAGACATTAGTGACTTTGTTGTTGAATTTTACAATTAGTGAATAAGTATGGGAATAGCTCCTCTAATGGGGATTCCCCGACCGCGCCTTAAATTAGGTGAATATGAAAACAATACGAGAATAACAAAAGAGTAAGATATGGGAGGTGTGAAAAGCATACCCACCCCGGTGGCTCCGCCCAGTTGTCATTCCTATAAGCAATTATGGCTCCGTTCATTTCACCGATTTGAATTTAAAATTTTAAGTTTTGCTAAAGTAAAAAACTCTAAGAAACAGTCACATCTAACTTTTTTGTTACAGTAAAAAACTCTCATATAAAGTCACGTCTCAACTCGAATCAACGAACTAAACGGACCCTATATATATCTAAGAAACACACTTGATCATCACGTAGACCTCATAAAATAATCGACATACCAATCACAGCGATTTGAGTACACAAAGGATGTTCTCAGAGGAAACATGTGCAAATTATAGATGCTTTGTAACAAACCATAGGTTATAAAGATTGCAGATTATTTCTACTATTACACGAGATCTAGCTTCAAAAATAGCAGAACAAGTAGATCTTTAACACCCCCCTGGGAAACCTACCCCACTTGCAGACTTTCGAGAGGTCTACTAGCTCTCCCAAAGGTTTTCTCTAAATTCACACTCATTAAATCCCTCCATCCCCTGACTACTAACCTTTCCCTTTTATAATTCTAACCCTTCTAACAAACTGATAACAAACTGCTTAAAAAAATACTAACAAGTAACAACAACTAAACAATCACTTAACCAACTAACTTCCAGTTCCTATTATTACCTCTAAACTTTTCTTCACCTCACCAATATCACTGATCAACACAGCGAAATGCTCAACTCTGATGATTCCCATAGAATTTACAAGAAGAAAAAATTTAATCATGGTTACATGTAATTTGGATTTGCTCGACCGCATGGACATCTAAAGCCGCCATTGCTTTTTTCTTTTCTTATAGTTCACAGGGTCCTTGCAACCTTTTCATATAAATCACGAGGCCAATTCCGACTTGAATTATTTGCAATGAAAGTTGCGATCTGCAAAAGCAAATAACAGAGGCATCATCGATACTATACAATTGATCAAGGTTTTTCTAAGCAGTTATTTTGACTGTAATTTACTTCAGCATAAAACAAATTAACAAAAATTTCACAATTTCTTTCAGGAGAACTTATCCATATCTACCATTTAAAATAAAAATAGATACTTGAAATAGGTCATAAGTAGAATGGCCCCAAGCAACAGAGAAGCACTTTGTCAAACAACAATAGGCGAAGAATTTATTGGTTGAAAAACACACCTTAGCCCTCAGGGCACGAAGTGATCCATCGGAGTCAGTCACATTGTCTAGACAAGTAAGTGCAACTCTAAGAAGGTCAGGAATGCAAGCTTGGACATGAGGAGAGAGATTTTGAAACACATCAGTGGCAGTGTCTGGAGTTCGAGGATCCAGTGGAAGAAATGGAAGTTTTGCAACCTCCCTCAGAGCATCAATATAATGACCCACTTTCACAAATTTGTGGACTGACAGTATTGCCTCAAGTTGCCTTAGAACAGTCTGCTGTTCGGTAACATGCTCTCTCTCTTGCGGACTGCAAAAGCATATTATAGAGATCTTTAGTCGGAGAAGAAACTTCAAGCGAGTATTGGCAAAGTAAAACCGAAAAAAAAAAACAAAATAAACAAACAAAAATAAAAACAAAACAAACATTTGTTCTAGTTTTACAATTTGACCTATCTGGAAATCTAAAGCACGTAAGAACAACTCCAACCATGCTAGTTATTTCATATTTTTAACTAAAATAGCTAATGATTTAGCTTTTGCTTTTTTTTTTTTTTTTTTTAAGCTTTTATCCACTTTAATCATTAGCTAAATGGTTAGCTATTTTAACTAAAGCACTTTCCACTAGCTAAATATAGCTAACAAGAAGTTGCTAACTATTTATTTTTTTTATTATTTTATTCTTAGTCTTGACATAAAGTAAACGTTAAAAAAGAAAGTTATTTATATTTTTAAACTTTTTAGCAAGAATATTTTAAACTAAAAAAAAAAAAATTAAAATAATCTATGTTTAGCTAAAATAGAGAGTGTAGTTGGAGTGACTCACTAAAAAGTTGCTACCTAAAATGCTAAATTCTAGCTAAAATGGCTAGAAAGCCATTTTAATAAAATAATAAAAAGAATAAATAGCTAGCCACTTCTTGCTAGAAAATGCTTTAGCTAAAATAACTAATCATTTACCTAATGATTGGAGTGGAGAAATGCTAAAAAAAAAAAAAAAGCCAAATCATTAGCTATTTTAGAAAAAAACATGAGGACGTTTGGTTGGAGAATTCAAACCATGTGATTCGAATCATTTTTTATTTACGTGAATTTTTTGTGAGAGAAAATACTGTAGCGAACCACGAATCATGATTCGAATCAGGGAACGAATCATTTTACCAAACATCGCCGAAATAGCTAGCATGGTTGGAGTTGCTCAAACATATGAAATAATTCAACAATTTGAACTTAAATTAAGAGAAACAAAAGATGCATTGTGGAATGACCTGACATCAACGTGATACTTATAACTCTCTAGGATCTCATTTCCTGAGTGAATGAGGCCAGCTGTCCGGCTTTCACCATCCAATCTACCACGTGAGAGGGCGCAGATTGCTTCGGATAGGCACTTGTTAATTGTATCCAATGCCATTGAGAATGCCCCAATTCTTTTTTGAATTTCTATAGACTGAAATAATGAGGAAACGATTAATACAATTATTAAAACCCAATTATTTGCGATGCTATATTAAAGTCACCAGATCAATAATAGGCCATGAGCAGAAAGTATTTGACAGCCATGTGTAAGTCAAGAAGAGTGAAGTAATAACTATATGATAAGTCAAAATGTTTGAAATGTTGAACGAAGTACAAAGATTCAAATCTTTAAGACAGAACCAAATGTCTAGTTCCATGCGGGGTTTATCAGTATCCAAAAGTTGTGTGGATGTCACCATCTTCCACCATAACGTTTCATCAGGGAAAAATAATTCTTATCCACATAAAAGGAAAGGTTCCAGAGTCCAAATATGTGCGGTATTAGCACATTTTGCAAAGTGCACTAACCACCATCCATCACCAAGAAAAATGGAATTAAAACCATAAGAAAAGTTGATGTTTCATAGAGTTCCTCGCATTCTTTCCAACTAATAACATGCAAGGGAAGGGAAAAAATTACCTCGTCATATAATCCAGCTTCTCGACAGCGGTGAGCAGCTTCAAGCAAGAACTGTTTTCTTGCTTTATCATCAATGAAAAACCGGCTCAATTCACCTTCTTCCCCAGCACCTCTTGAACCAAGTAAAACATAGATTCCACCATCTCCCAGTAACAGCTCAGTAAGGAGTTGCTTCAGCATCAAGTTTCTCTGCCTTTGTTGATCTGCAGTACCTCGCCCAGACCATAACAACTGTCCACCACCAACTGCTGCAGCAGCTTGCGCATAATATTCTAGTGCTGTTGGAAGGTCACCAAGACGTAGATACAAAGATCCATACTGCCTAATTATGGTAGAAGCCTCTGCATAAGCATCCATCAACCCCAACTTTTGTCCAGCCCCGACACCTTCAGAAAGGATCCCATGGTCTGCCAGCACAATTGACATGTGTGCAGCATCAATATTGTATCCTTCATCTCCCGCTTCCTTCGACAAGTATAGAATAGCTGGCAGCAACTGGATGCTTAAAAGCAAAACATAAGGGTACACTAGAGGATCCTTTCCATTTTTTGTATAATATGAGGGGTCAAACTTATTTAGGTAAACCTGCAAATCATCCAGAGTGTATGGTACCAAACCATCACTTAAAACAACAGATTGGGGACCAACAGTGCAGTCTCGTACAGCCGATAATTTGAACCACAAGAAGTCCTCGATTGTATTGAAAAGTGTTGGTGAATCTCTCAACACTCGGTCAATTTGCTTGCGTGACCCAGATATGATAGCATATAATAGCAATTTTTTCTTGTCATATGCATTTCGACTCAGGCGATCACCCATTCGCAACATTTTGTCACATTCTTCTGATGCAGCAGCTGCAATTTCTGCTGGAACCATACCCCCAGTATTGATCCATTCTGTGAGCTTTTTTTTTTTTTTCCAAAAGATAAAAGAAGATAAAAAGGTAGCCCCAAACATCAGATATCACATCATTGCTGTGCAAGAAATAAATAAGTAGATAAAATAGATGTCAGTACCAGAGGAGCAAACTGATGTGAAGAACGGGAAGAAAGAGCAACATTTCTTGCTTCATCGTAGTAACCAGTTCTCAAGCAAAAGAATATCTGTCACGGACAACAAGGATAAATATGAAAGATAGCCTCAAAATTAGTAAACATCAAGTCTTGAATCATCAATAAAAAATTATTTTTCTTTAGCAAATAAATAAATCAAAAAACAAGATAAAATTAGTATTGAGAACCTGCTGCATATTTTTCTTTAGCAAATAAATAAATAAATAAATCAAAAAACAAGATAAAATTAGTATTGAGAACCTGCTGCCAAGTAGTATCAACAGGAGGTTGCCTACGAGCATCACCTGCATCAAAGTCTAGGACTCCATAATCCCTCAAACGAATCTGTACAGATATAGAAAAGTGTCAAATATACTGTACATCACAAAAGTATCCAGAACAATAATATAACATATAACTTGCACGTCTTCAAAAATTGATAATCAGCATGGCAACAAACCCGAAGAAAGGCACGAATTCTTTGCATGTTTCCGACAACCCCACCGAGCGCAGCCTACAATGAGATCAAAAGATAAGCAAAATTGTGAAATTGAAATAAACAGGTATACAAAGATGATAGCTAAATAAAAAGTTCCTTACAAATTCTTTAGTTGGAAGAATATATCAACTATGGATCAATAAAATTTCACTCAAACTTCATAGGAAAAACAAATCCAACTAAACATTTATATTGGGGAAGCATTATTAGAAAATAATAATGATAAGATTAAAAATAATAATTTCACAGATCTAATCCAATCCAGCAAGGCAGCGGAAAACAAACATGATAGCATATATAATTATTACCTGGGCAGGACGACTTTGAATAGTATCCATTATATATTTTTCATGCCCCCGTTCAAGGTGGCACCTTGCACCAACAACTAAAGACATCTTCTTCGACATGCTCCGTTGAGTAGTCAAGTCTTCACCAATCAATGCCTACACCATTTTGCCCATTACAAATAAAAAATAAGAAATTTTAAAAATTTTAAAAAAAAATCTTATTTTCCATGAAACAAAACCAAAGAAAAGCATTCACAAGCATGTGCTAGAGAAACCGAGAACATAATACAACGATTGTAAAGTAGAAGTAAAGCACATAATTATATAGTAATTTAAAAATTTTTAAAAAAAATCTTATTTTCCATGAAACAAAACCAAAGAAAAGCATTCACAAGCATGTGCTAGAGAAACCGAGCACATAATACAACGATTGTAAAGTAGAAGTAAAGCACATAATTATATAGTATACCTGAACAAGGTGCCATATCTTCTGCATGTTAACTGATTTTCCGCCAGATGCATCAAGGCCTAGACTTTCATATGCACTCTTAAATGCTGTTGCAGGCTAGTGAAAGAAACAAATAGTAATTAGATTCACATCATAAATGGAACAAAACTTGAATACAATCTTGAATACAATCCCAACAGCACCAGCCATTTCACCAGTTGAGTATATCATTGAAGTGTGGAAACAATAAAAACTGACTATTAATATATTAAAAAAAAAAAAACAGCAGATATCTCAGCAAAATATAAGACCAATCTTGCTCATAACGACTTCCAAGATTGCAAAATGTCTAGTTATACTAAACAATAATAACTCAAACCAACCACTCAGTCATGCTTCAAACTAGTTATATAAATGCCCACAGCATTAGCTTCTTTAAATTATCATTGGAATAGTACACAAGATAGGCGTACTTTAAATGGCAAGCCACGTTCCCTTGCATTATTCAGATCCTTTACAACTTTAGCATAGACTGTTGCTTTTTTCTCAAGGGTAGGCTTGTTAGCTAGAGGTACAATCTCCATGCTTGATGCACCAGATGAAACCTGAGGGCTGGAAGTCATCGACACTATCTGACCAGAGCGAGCACCCCCACTGCTGCTAACTATCATATTAGTCCGTGGTAATGTGGAAATTCGACTTAAGTTCTGAAGACTATCACGTTTCTCCTTTTGCCAATCCTCCTGATATGCAATAAAGGCAATCAGGCCCAAAACACAATTAGCAAAGATAACCACTTCAACATTTTTTGAAATATTTCCAAATTCCAAATTAATATTTCTCCTCAAGTGGTTACCCTCTGGTACAAAGATTTGACGCTATCAAACACCAGAGTGCCATATTGGAAAATTTCAAAATTAATATAGTCATGTTTATCATTTATGTCATGCTAACCTCCAAGACTTTCAACATATAATCATTGAAACTTCTCAGATTATCCTTTTGAGCTTCCTGGACAGCCGAAACCATTGCCATTTCATGGACCTGGTAGATTGGTATGATAGACAGAACAATTTTTAGTCACTGCCAAGAAAAAAGTAGGAAAGTATTGCGTAAGAATTGCCAGATACTCAAAGACGGTTAAACTTTCAGGATCAGAGCCATAATGAAAGATTCTTTCACTGCACTTCACTTTGACAGCTCAGTCAATATGCATGTACCAAATTTATATGTTATTATGTTGAATTTGAACTAAATGTGGACAAAAATTGACCAAATAACTGGGAAGCCTCCCTTCAATACACACAAACTACCTATTTTGAAGGGATATGGGCAGAAGAAGTATGACCACTGAAATATCTAAATTGTGGGGAGAGAGAGAGAGAGAGAAAGAGAGAAAGAGTATAACACTTGTGCATACACCCACAGCCCACACCTATACCCATTTCCCTGTAAGGCTGTAACACAAGGTTTCCTAACAATTAACATGTCTAATTCAATATAAGTAAACAAATAAATGGGTTAACTATTACTTGGGTTTTGGCCATTTGTAACGAAACAGTCCTACCATTAAAGTAGTGGAAAATACAAGTATTGTTTAAGCAATTGAATAGTTAGCAAATGATATAAAGAATAAAGTACCTGCTGCAGATACTCCTCAACAGTTGTGGCCTCAGCAGGGAAAACATCCTCAAATGTTGTCTTCATAAAAAGTACACCATAAAGAAAATACAAGCAAAAATCAGCTATAGTGGTAATAACTCAATATTAAAGCATAGATGTTAATTAAACTACAAGTCCGCAACCAGTCCATCCATTAAAAGAGAATTAAAAAGAAAAGGTGTGACGTGAGCTTTACACAAGTACTACACAAGAAAAAATATAGAAAATTAGTTTAAGGAATTTGAACGACAACATTTTTTGGACAGGATTTGAACTGAGAATAAATAAGTGAAGCATAATGCAAGAATAACAATGTAAAACATCAGAAACAATTTTAGTTAGCTCTTCTAATCCTATTAAAGCAATTTTTCCAATGCAGATGCCATTTGAGATTACAAAATTGGAAACAATATGACAAGTTTTGCAACCAAGCGACTCATCAAATGTTTATACAAAAAAGTTTTCGCAGCCATGGAGCTAGAGTATTGAACACCCAACAAAAAAAAAAAAAACTCATCAAATGTTTATACAAAAAAGTTTTCGCAGCCATGGAGCTAGAGTATTGAACACCCAACAAAAAAAAAATACCTTCAATTCAAAAGACTTCAGATCACGTGCAAGCTGCTCAGCATTTATTCCCTCACGTGCAAGAAGCCTATAAATGCCCCCAACAACAACATATTAGGTACGTTCAATCAATCATGTTTTATAGACGACACAACAAAGGGACAGTATAAGAATTGAAATATTTAAAACTGATAGTCCCCATTTCCTATTTTTATTTAAGAACTAGAAAATTTAAGAATCGCAGCGATTTCTGCCAGAATAAACACTAAAGTACCTCGTCGCAGCAATTGATTGCGATGGAGCCTCAGTTCTGAGAGTTTTTGCCTTGAGCTTCTTAGATAATGCTTCTAACTGATCTAAATTTCTCTGAAACAAGGAAAAAAAATAAAGTTAAAATCAAGAAAATTACTCCAATGAGATATAATTCTTGCGTCAAGAAGAAAACTTTATCCTTATGTTTAATTGAATTTTTTCCTCCTTTCTTTATATCATTTTCTAAGCAACCAAACAAGAGAGGAACCACATTTTCAATACAGCAAGGTTTTTCCACAATTCCCATTGATTACACTTCAAACAAAAATGCCATACTGTTTCCACCATTTCTCAACATTCAAACAGTCGAATGAGTGTGAATTACTAAGCAGAACCAACAAATTTCAAATTGCGCAAAGCTAATTTTGCTTTCGAATATTCAATAACGATTGATCCGATAATTAGATTTCAACTTGCACTTTTTCCTTCAATTTCTCGGTATCAAAAGTGACGGCAGCTAAACCGAAAGAGTATCTTCGACGAAACCCCCAAACAACAAAAACCAAACGACTGTAAAAGAAAAAGACTATCTTCGACGAAACCCCCAAACAACAAAAACCAAACGACTGTAAAAGAAAATGAAACATTTCTCGTCCCGCATTTTCTCGGGAAACAAAAGGAAAGTGGAAGGAGTAGGTAAGGAAGTGAACCTGGAGAGGAGGGAACTGAGCGGAAGGGGCAGCTTGCTCGAGAAGCTTGGTGGAGGAATGGAGGAGATCGGTCCAGTTGCTCATGTCTTGCTCGCTCGCCATTGCTGTGGAGAAGAGAGAACTGTGAGAGTGGGAAAGTTGAGAGAGAGAGAGAGAGAGGGAAAAGGGGTTTTAAGGGCCTTTCTAAAGCCCTAAAATTTTCAAACCACTTTAGCCTAAAATGAAAACTGGTGCTCCATTTTTATTTCTTTTTCCATCTTTTTATTTATTTATTATTCTTAGCATAGTTTTTGAAGGTAAGATCATTAGATCAAAATCTTGGAAAAATGAAAAATTATACCAAACTTATACAATTTCAAAGGAATTCTTATTGGATGAGTTTGTTTTCATACCCATATAAGGTAGAAACAGAGGTAAGGATAGAGATAAAATCTTATGTCTAAATCGTAGCGCTTTCCGTTCCACTTCCATCCCATATTCATGAATTTTATATAGATAAATCGACATAATATTAACTTTTCAAGTATAATTAAAGGTACTCTATAATTAATCATTTTGTGACTTTTATTATTAAAATTTGATGTGCATATGTTTAGAATTTGATTTGTTTTTTACAACCTTTAACTTGGGTTGGATTTATAGTAAATTTTTACTTTATTTTTTATTTGAAATTGTTATGATTTTGAAATACATTTATATTATATGAAAATAAGGCGGGTCTCTCAACAAGGTTAAAAGAGATCTATAGAAATTAGGAGAATTATGACATATTTGTCATCTAAAATATAAGCGACATGGCGCTTACATAAAGGCCTCGTTCACTTCGCGGATTCGAGTTTTCAATTTGAGCTGAGATGTGACATTTTCTGAGAGCTTTTTACTGTAACAGAAAAAGTTAGATGTGACATTTTCTGAGAGCTTTTTACTGTATAAACCTAAAACTGAAAACTCGAATCGATGAAATAAACGAGACCAAAGCTGTCATTGAATGTGTGGAAACATGTCATTTGTAATGCAGGTATGTGTCGTTTTCAAGCAAAATTTTGTTGTCGTTTGGTTTGAGATACGACCTATCGCTTGTTGTCTTAAGTTACTTGTTGTTTAAATTAGAGAAATTTCGTGTCGTTTTTATACCCGTTTGGTTCATGGTTAAACTTCAAATCCATAATTTTGATTCTACATGTTTTCTCTTAAAAAAAATTAAATTTAAAAAATACTCGTTAATGATTCTCTCATAAAATTTGAATGTATAATCAAAATCACTAATTAGAACTGATGAACGAAACCTACTACAAATATTTGTCGGTTCAATATGACATTTAGTTGGCAGTAAATATTTCATGTGGCAAACTAATGTAATACAGTACCACATTTGTTATTGAAATTCATTTCATTATTTAATGAGCTCCGTGAGAGGAAATTTTTATTAGTAAAATAAGTTTTTAAGAGTTTTTATTGATAAAATGACCACGCAAATGATACAGAATTATGTTCTTTATAAAAATAAAAAATAATTTTAGGTCCGGCTCATAAATTTAAACGAAAAAAAATTTAAAAAGAAATTTAAATTTATGAGAGAAAATATTTTTAATTTAAATGATAATTCAAATTTATAAAATAATTAATTAATTTCACGTTGTTGGATAATAGAGCTAACAAATTTCTGTCTTTGAGAAAGAAAATGGATTTTAGTACAAATCGCTATTTTTGAAGGATTTTTTTATTTTTATTTTTTATAAATGATTGAAATTTTATAAAATTACAACATGATTGTTTTTATTAGTTATCAATTTTAATTTATTAATCATTAACTCGCTTACTTTTCATTATTAATCAATATTTATTAATAATTAATTTAATAATTAATTAATTTTCATCAACAACTTATAAATTTACTAATTATTAATAAATTATGGAACAATGCGTAAGTCACTAATCAATTCTCAAAAAATGTCCATTTCATAAAATAAAAAAAAAAAGACGTGTCATTTTTGAAAAAACGTTGATAAAAAAGTCATTTAACTAATTTTCCCCAAAAAAAGAAAAATAGAAAAAAAAGAATTTGAAATAGTGAAGTGGCAAAGCAAACTCTGGTTCTGGTAGATCGTTGAGCGGAGGCAAGTGCACAAAGGGAAAAGAGGCATAATGCGGAAGCTGAGCACAATCCTTCGGAAGGGTCAGAAAGCTCTTCAAGATCTGGAGTTGCTCAAGATTTTGCAATCTGAGATTTCCCACGAGCTTTCCTCCAATCCCTTTCAGGTTCCTCTTATCATTTTTCTCTTTTTTGATTCTTCTGTTATTATTTCTATGTTATTTGAATGAGTTGGTAGGAGTTGTTAAACAGTTTTATTCTGGGTTTTGTTTTTTGTTTTTTTGTTTTTTTCCTCTTTTTCTAGACCAAAGAAATGAACTTGATTTTGAGCTTGAGCCGCGGTTTGGATTCATTTCCAACAAAGTTGGGTGGAGCCACACCTTACCAAGGGTAGCCGGCCGCTCCATCTTAATTTTTTTTATTTTAATTTTATACGCGTATATTTTGCTAAAATTTGTAGTTTGCATCATTAAAAGTCTGAAATTTTATATGTACGTCCTTTCTTAAAACCTATAATTATATGTCTGCCCTTCTCAATTAATTTTTCGGCTCCACCCAGTTTTGGTATTGTGTTTTGGTTAGTGGATTGTTATAGAAATAAGAACTACTTTATGAAAGGCATTATTGCAAGTGTAAGTGGGTTTTCAGAGAGAAAAAGAACTAGTTTGTAAATGGTATTATTCTAAGTGCTTCCCTGCCATTGTCCGGTTACTCGGGTATTTTGAGTGAATCAATGGATCATTAACAAATTTTTTTTTAGGATATGGCATCTTTCTCCTGTGCTTCCAGCTACATCAATATTCATGAACAGTGTTTTTCTTCATTCGTCCATGATTCATGGTTCTCAACAGTGTTTTTTTCTCACAAAAAACACACGTAAAACGAGAATGATTCTGAATCCAGGAACCAAATGTCAAGTGATTCTTAAGCAAACCGAAGTTACTCACTATAATTGTGTTGGTCAAATAGAGTTGTAAGTTTAGGACGCCCAGACTGGTCCGATGAGGGGCTGGCAGTCCAAAGGGAAATTTCGGGTCGGGCCGGGCCGGCTCTAAAAGAGAAAGGGTCGGCCCAGCTTAACCCTAAGCTCAAAAAGTTTAGGGTCGGCCCAGAATTTTATAAAGTATTTTTAAAAAAATATTTAAAAATATGATGATTGGGCCGGGCCGACCCTAAAGGAGAGAGAGTCGGGCTAAGTCCAAAAATTTAGGCCCAGGCCCGGGCCAACACTAGCGGGCTCGGGCTGGCCCGTGCGGCCCAAACTTGCAGCTTTATGGTCAAGTAATTTGACATGTAATTGATTTGAGTACATCTTTTGCCTTCAACAAGATGCGGATTAGTTGGCCGATAAAAATCTGCTTATAGAGTTTTACTTTAAGGAGGATGTATCATGAGTTTGTAGTTTCTCATTTGGTCATGTAATGTATACATGAACGAGTTGGTCGGCTTGCTAATCCGCTTGATGTAATGTATGCATGAACGATTGAGTGTAACCACAATTTCATTCATGTTATGCTTAAGAAATTTCATATAAGCAGACAAAAACGATAAAGCAATTCTGATTGTTACCGTTGCTGCTGGGCAGAAAAAAAAAAGCCAAAAACAAAAAAAAAAGAAACAAGAACTACAACATGTCAATTGTCTGAATTATATAAGGTTAAGCAAATCTTGAGCAGTGCCCTTTATTTTGAATTTGTTTATTTGAGTTGTCGGTATGCACATTTTTACAGGACATCGAAGGCGGTTCCTTGGGAGATTTTGTAGTGGACTGGGACTCAGCAAAGTCTCGGGATGTGGTTCTTCGAAGAAAGTGTGATACGGGAGAAGAGGTCGTTGTTTCGGCCTTGCTGGGTCCGTTGCCCGTTGGAAGTGGGACAGAGGTTGCGCTTCCAAGGGATGTGTTGATGAAGGTATGTGTGAAGAAGCCTGGCTTGAGATCTCTTCTGCAGTTTGATTGTGAATTTTATCAGACGGACGATGACGACGGGTCTGCATTTGACATCCATAATGCCCATTATCTTCAGTCTTCAACTATTGTGAGTAATTCAGCCTACAGAGGCCCCTTATTCAGGTAAAATTTTGTGGTCAAAGCTCTTATATTATGTCGTAAATAAGCGAAGCTAAAATATATTTGACCCATGCTTTAATGAGTGACCAAAAGTGGGGATATTTTTGTATATTCAACTGAAGAATGTACAGCAATATATAGGAAAAAAACTAGGCTATAAAAGGGAACTCTCCTAAGACCTAATCCCCATAAATCAGGGATATTCACTACCATAATATACAACCATAATCACAAGAAATACACAGCTGTAGTACACATTTTCTCCTAATCTACTAAGTTGTAAAATCTACGCACCATAAAAACTGATTCTAACACTCCCCCTCAAGCTGGTGAGTGGATATTTTCCATTCTAGCTTGCTAACACTAGACTAAAATGTAGAGTCACTCAATCCTTTGGTTAACACATCTGCAAGTTGACCCTCGGTTGGACACAAATAGAGTACAAATCATTCCACTATCCAACTTCTCCTTAATAAAATGTTTGTGTACTTCCACATGCTTGGTGCGGTCATGTTGCACCAGGTTATGAGCAATATTAATTGCCGACTTGTAATCACAATATAGCTTCATAGGTCCTTCCAAGCAATCTTCAGATCTTCCAAACTTATTTTCAACCATAGAAGCTCACAAATTCCTAATGCCATTGTTCTGAACTCAACTTCTGCGCTTGACCTTGCAACTACATTCTACTTCTTGCTTCTCTATGTTACGAGGCTACCACCGAGGAATGTACAATAGCCTGAAGTCGATTTTCTATCATCAACTTATTTGGCATAGTCTGCATCTGTGTATGCTTCCAATGTCAATTGATTGCCTCTTTTGAACAACACTCTCTTTCCTGGAGTACCTTTCAAGTACTGTAGAATTCGATAAACTCGAAGATGTACTTCTTTTGGTTGTGCATAAATTGGCTCACCACCCCTACAACACAGGCTATGTCTGGACTCGTATGAGAAAGATTAGTTTGCCAACTAATCTCTGATAGGATTCTCTATCCACCACTGCATCTTTTGGGACTTCACAAAGCTTGTGATTCAGTTCAATGGGTGTCTCTACCGGTTTACACCCAAGTTTCCCGTCTCAGTTAATAAATCCAACGCATACTTCTGTTGGTATAAGCCCATGTCGAGAGTGAGGAGCTTCAATGTCGAGGAAGTATTTTAACCTGCCAAGTTATGTTTATCTTAAACTCTTGCATAAACACGTTTTCAAGGCCTTCATTCCTTGCAAGTCATCTCCAGATACCACCATGTCATCCACATAGACTAATAATGCTGTAACTCCCCCTGAAGCAGAATGTTTGATAAACAATGTATGATCACCTTGACTTTGTTTGTAAACCAAAGCTTTCATTACTCTAGCAAACCTGCCAAACCAAGCCTGGGAGATTGTTTTAAGCCGTAGAGAGCCTTTTTCAACTTACAAATCTTATTATTCTGTGACTCAAATCCTAGAGGAACCTCCAAATAGATTTCTTCATCGAGATCACCATGTAAAAAACCATTTTTACGTCAAATTGCTGCAAACTCCAACTACAGTAAGCTGCTAAAGATAATATCATTCTTACCGTATTCATTTTTGCACCAGGAGCAAATTTTTCAAGGTAATATATCTCATAAGTTTGAGTATTCCCTTTAGCTACTAGCCTTGCCTTATAGCGTTCAAGTGATCCATCTGCCTTGTGTTTCACAGTGAAGACCCATTTGCATCCTATTAGCTTATTTCCTTGAGGCATTTCCACCAAGTCCCATGTTTTGTTCTTCTCAAGTGCATCCATTTCAACCTTCATAGCTTATTTCTGCTCTTTACTTCCCGATGCTTCGGAGACAGTTTTTGGGATATTAATAGTGTTAAGGTGGATAAGAAAACTTTTATGACCACTGGTCAGCTATACATAAAGTGAGACAATAGATATACAGGCCGCTGAATACATTTCCTTACATCCTTTACAATGGATATACAGGCCGCTGAATACATTTCCTAACGCCCTTTCTAATTGCAATGAGAAGATCATAATCATCAACAACAGGCACATGTCTTTCATGATCTTTAGGATTAGGAGGTACCTCAACATTATTAGCACCAGAGATTGGTTCTGAATCAAGAACCTACATTGGATGAACAAGGGGTTCTTTCCTCATTGAATATACCTGCAATGGGCGAGTAGCACTTTGAATCTGTTTATCTTTTTGCTGCTGGACTAGGAGTCCTTGGATTTGGCTCATTTGGTGATGAAACAGAAACAAATGACGACAGAGTATGATTTTGCGAGGATGGGGAAGATGAAAGATCGAGCAAAAACAAATCTCTATCCTTATTTTCCATGAATGATGTCTCTCCCTAAAGATTAGGATTTGGAAAGTAATTCTCAGCTTTCACAAATGCGTCATCTACATAGACAAAGAACCGTTTTGTTGGAGGATGATAATGTTTATACGCTTTATGTGTAGAAGAATATCTCACAAAAACACACTTAAGAGCCCTTGGATCAAGTTTACAACGGTTGTTCGAATGAATATGGACAAAAGACACACACCCAAAGACCCTACACTATCTATTGTTTTACTTTTACATTGAGGACAATGCTAGCTTTAAGTTTGGGGGAGTTAACTACCTTATTTGATGTTATTTTATTCAATAATAAAAAAAAACGACAACAACAGAGAGTAGCAAAAAAGGCAGTGCTGAAAACATAGCGCCGCGGCGCCAGTTCGGGTTGGCAGAAATAAACACGCCCAAACAACTACCCCCACTCACGGTATTTCCAAAAATCTCAGGCCAAAACACACAACCGACCCTAAAGATCAAATTTCACTCCGAAATCTCTTGAAAACATTCCCAATCCGCCTCTAGTTGTTCTTACTTCAATTTATTAAAACTTTCTTCAAGACTTGCAAGAGTTAGGACAAGCTTCCGCTGTGGGGGTAGTGATGCCGTAGCGGTCTTCCGTTCAAAGAAAAGTAAGCCCTGATTTTTCTTGTTTTTATTTTTTTTTAGACTTTCGTGCTAAAGTGATATGAAATTAGTGGCTATTCTCTGAGATTGGTGCAAATTTGGGGGAAGTTGAGATGTTAAGGTGTTAGAAACGTGAGACTTAATATTTTACATAATATGTGTTTGTCACAAGTTCTGAGAAGACGTTTTTAGTGTGAATGAAAGGGGCGGAACTAGAACAATACATGCCATGATTAAGGGAATTAAGCAAGTTAGGGGGAGAGTGTTTTTGGGTGTTCCTTCGAAAAAGAGAAGTTAGTTTGGACGTGATTCTCAGTTTGGCATATACGTTGCTCTATTTTCATGGCTTCCAAACGTCAGCGCGCGTCAACTCCGGAAGCTTCATCTTCTAAGAAGGAAAAATTTGATAAAGTAAAATTTATTAGCTTTGACGCATCGGAGAGGTATAAACATCTGTGGTAACCAAAACTTGTGTTCCAGAGACAGGGATTAGCTTGTAAAGCAACCAAAGGGCGCGCTAGTTCCAGTGGTTCGAGAATTTTATGCTAATGCCAAGGAACATAAAAACAAGAAAGTGTATGTCAGCGGTAAATGGATATCCTTCGACAGTAAGACTATCAACAGGTATTATAAACGGCCCGATATAGAGAATGATGACAGGAACCCGACACATATAGATTATTCGGTATTTGACAAGCTCTCGCGTAAACTGAAAGAAATTTACCACAGGTGTTATTAACTTCTCTTCATCCGGGTTAGCCTATGAGACAAAGGCATGTCATTATTTTATATCTGCCAAATTGCTTCCGAGCAATAATTACTTCTAAAGTGACAAATGATCGTGCTATTTTGAATTATGCTATTTTCATGGACTTTAGCATCGATGTTGGCAAAGATCATTGAGAAGTCTATTCTTGATACGCTCTAAGGGAAAACGACAGGGGGACTTGGACATCCATCATTGATCTATGATTTGTGTCACAAAGTAGGAATTCCAACGACCTCAGATGAAGAAATTCAGCACTCGAAGTCAGTCATAACTCGAAAGAAAATGGAGAGCTACAAATCTAATGATCAAAGGCTCACTATAGCTCCAACCTCACCACTACCTGGTCCTAGTTCTCCTAGACAACCCAATAATTCCTCAACAGAACTTAGTGAGCTGAGGCATTGTGTGGCCCAATTGCAACTTATGGCGCACGATCAACAACAGTGGTGGGAGACAGTTGATCAGCATTTGGAACAAATTCAATATAATCAAGATCAAATTGCTGCAAGACAAGATGTGCAGTTTGACTACCTAGCACATTTTACTACAAGTTTAGGGGCAATGTATTCCAATTGTGCACTTAATTCTAGATCTGATGGAATTGTATTTTCTTAACCTCCGACTTTGCCGCCATATACTCCGGCCAGACGCTGCCGTCCTACCCCTGCACCTTCTGCACCTCCTCCTGCTTCCCATGAAGACACTGACTGTTAACTACTCAGGGAAGTCCTCTACACTATCTCTTATTTTACTTTTACATTGAGGACAATGCTAGTTTTAAGTTTGGGAGAGTTAACTACCTTATTTGATGTTATTTTATTCAATAAAAAAAATAAAAAATAAAAAAAAATACTTGAGCTTTGGTTCGGCTTGTTTCACCCCGGCCGATGATGAGACAACAATTGAACTTTATTATGACTTTTGGAAGACAATGACTAATTTGATTGTTTGTGTGCTTGACTTGTTTGTTAGTTTTGCTCTACTTATGATTTACTTGCATTGTTGAGCACATAACTAAGAACACTTGGTCATTTTGTGAACTTAGAAAAAGTTTATGTGATTCTCGTGTTTCTTAAGATCTCACCAGACTCTAGAACTTGCTTGATTATCACTCGAGGCGGAATTATAGGCAATTTATCACTAAGGAAATGATTTAGGCCATTTTTGGATCGTTTGAGTCGTTTAAGCTTATCATGTTATAATAATATCCCTAGTCACCTCTCTGAGCCTCACTCAAGGTGAAATATCTCAGGTAATTTATCATTAAGGAAATTTGGAT